TCCGCTTCTCACCCGACTCTCGCCCCTCCCGACGATCGTCCTGGCGCTCTTTGTCCTTAACCACGAACTCTTTTAAGTGACCAGCCCTAATGATCCGCTCGATTTCATCCTTCAACTTCCGGCAGAAATTTGTAGAATGGCCATAATCACGGTGGCACCGACAATACCTGTCTTTCGATACCGAGAACTTTCTCGGTGGGAGCAGAGGCTTTGGCTGCACCAACAACTTGTCCTCCCCTCGTTTTTCCATTGTCTCTAGGATCTCCTGTTGTGGTGCGTTAAGTGGTTTGTAATGCTCATACCTCGAACCCCTAAACTGATCCTCGACCTTAGCCTCCTTAGGGGCAACTCGCCGATCGCCCTGTGGAGGCCCCATCATCCACCTGCTTGGCCTTTGTTTTGTCATTTCAGATGAAGTCCGCCTCTGATTCCTCCATGTTCACATATTTGCTACACCTCTCAAGTAACTCGTCAAAGGACCTCGCCGGCCTCTTCGCCAACGAATCTCTGCACTTCCCAGGCCTCAATCCCCGCATAAGGCCTCCAGCTTTAATCTCTTCCGAAGCAGAGGGAACCTCCACGCACTCTTTGGTATACTGTGCTACATACTGCCGCAAGGTCTCCCACTCCTTCTGCTGCATATTGATTAGTGAGAGATACGTCTTCTCGTGCTTCCTGGCGCTCGCGAACTGATTCAGAAACAGAGAGCTAAATTTTTCGAAGCTATCGATAGATCCCGCTGGCAGCTGGTGGAAGTAATTCTGCGCCGACCCCTTTAACGTCGTTAAGAAGGCTCAGCAACTCACAGCATCACTATACCTGTGCAGCACGGCTATGTTGTCAAATAATCTCAAGTGCCTAGCTGGGTCCGCGATCCATCATAGGACAAACTCAACTCCCTGAAGTTGCTAGGCAAATCCCCTCCTAAGACATCTTCTGCAAAGGGGTGTCCTCGCGAAACTAAAGGTCTCTTACCATGCACCCGAGCTTGGAGTTCCCGCATTTGAGCTGCCAATCTCTCCAAAGTTAACCCATCCTATTGTGCCGTCACCACCGGGTGAGAGGTCACTGACCTGGCATCATCCTCATCGCCCCTCTCCAAGCGCTGATGCTGCTGCTGATGCAAAAGGACCTGTTGTTTAGGTGCTAATGGCTGCCATGTCGGAGGTTGTCGAAACGTCTCATTAGGAGCTCTCTTATCCACCTCTTGAGCCCGGCCTATCGCCTCAGCAATGATCTTGTCCAACTCTGACCTGGTCATCTGAATAATTGGGTCCTCCCCTGGTGCCAAAGAAACATTGCCCACGGAGGATTTTGTGCTCCTACCTTGACCAACTGCCTACTACCAAGGGCACCATTCTGATCACCAGCACCTCCAGATCCCAAAACACCTTGATTCGCCCCCCATCAACCGTGGTGCCCACCTCCTTCCCCTTATTTGTCGAACCACCCGATTCTCCCTGGTTTGGCACGCGTCCCTGACCTTCTAATGGTGGTACCGGGGTCACACTTGGGCCCAACAGCGTCTCTTTGGTGGTGACAAGCGATGGTGACCATCCTGGCGGGGGACCTGTACCGAAGGCCCTCCTTGCCCACTCCTCATCCATCTCCTTAGTAAAGCTCTTCTTCAAATTATATCCTGCCATGATCCTTGTTCTATTCTTCTTTGCCGAGAAAAACAGCCTTTAATGCTCCGGTAGAAGACTGATTTATCCCCATAGACGGCGCCAATTTGTTGTACCACAAATACTTGAACCGCTGGACCGCTCCTCTCCGAACTAAGCTATGTCTCCTTGATCTCCGGTACCTGCAAAGCACGCGGGGGTGGTCCCGGCGCGAACACTCCGACGCTCAAGTCAGTGGTGGTCCAAAGAGAAAACGACAGAGTAACGAGAGAATTCGTATGTGTGTGTTGTGTAAGTGAAATAACCTGTGGCCCTTTTATAGATGAAGTCATGTAGAAGCTGAAGAGTTCTTATCATACCATGAGTCTTCCCCTCAGATTAGGTCAAAATCCTAAGAGTTCTTGAGGTTGCGAACCTCTTCATGACTTGAGCACGATACCCCCTCTGGGCTCTGGTCCCCTCAGTGGAACGTCCAGCTACCTAGGTGCCAAGGTGCCCTGCCTAGCTCACGTTGAGCTAGCCTCCGCCTACCACCCATGTACTCCAAAGGTACCATGAGCTACGCCTACCAGAGCCTCCGCCTACTACCCATGTACTCTAAAGGTACCATGGACTTCGCCTACCAGAGCCTGCGCCTACCAGAGCCTCTGCCTATCACCCATGTACTCTGAAGGCACCATGGACTGCGCCTACCAGATTGAACCACCCAGCTGAGTGCGACTAAATCTCGGATCCCAACCGGTCCTTTATGAGCCGCTACTAACGACCACATCAATATTTTTGGCGATTTTTTTATTATGTTTATTTATATATTTCCTTCTCTATATTAATATATTGATATAATTTTTTCATTTTATTCATAGCAATGTCGTATATAGATCAAAGTCTTTCTTTTATAATGGACCGAACCACATTATCCCCCTTTTTTCTCTTTACTAATCTATATATATATATAAAAAGAATTACCATTTTTTAAAAATGGCAAGTCAAACTCTGGTCAAACTCAATAAACGTTTATTACATGCTATTAATAGCAACTTCTTTTTTTTTTAATTAAAAAACGGATGAGAGAGAAAGGTTGGCCTTAAGAAGTGGAAAGTTTATTAATTGTTTAGTTGGACAAGATAGACTTACTTTTGGATAAAAAAAAATTATGGATGATAAAAAAATTATCACAAAAACATTATCAGTTTTATTTTACTTTATTTTTTTTTGGATAAAAAAATATGGCTGATTTAATAATAAATATTTACTTTTTTATTTTCACAAAATCAAAAAGTGTTTTGTATCATAAAATCGTGTACCACTCATCTATTTTTATTTTTTTTTTTTGATAAAAAGAAATTATGGTTTATTTAATAATAAAAATCTATAAAAAATCGGTAACTTTTTTAACATCAAATCGGATAGTAAAATTGTTTTAGATGGCGGTTATTATTTTTTAATAAAAATAAATTACGATTAATTTAATAATCAAAATATAAAATAATTAATTTTTTAATCTTTTTTTTCTACCACTAAATCTAGCAGCTATCATGTTTTGATTGCTTATTCAATTGTTTTATTTGGCAAATATTTTCACAAAAAATAAATACAACTACGAAAATTATGAAATCATTAATTGTAATAATTGAAATATATTAACAATTTTTTAAATAATTTTTTTTTTTGCAACCATTAAATCACACAATTATATTCCAATTGCACTGATTCAATTTTATTGTTTGGCATTTATTTTCACAAAAAAATAAAATAAAATAAAAACAGCTACACTAATTATAAAATTATCAAAAAGTGTTTTTTTTTTTTTTTTGTTAAATCACAGATTCGACATATCTTACTCTTCAAATATATATATATAAGAATAACCATTTACTAGAAATAGTAGCAAAAAACTCTTGAAGCATTAAATGCATACCTTATTTGAAACTTTTAAAATATATGCATTATTGATTCCATATACACAATTTCAAATCAATTCAAATCAAACATGATAAAAAAGATTCATTTTTAAAATAATTTTATACAATAATTTCATTGATATCCGTTATAATAAACTATAAATTTAATTTTTAAATTCATATTGATTATTTTATTGTTTGATAGATATGAAAACATATTTATAATTATAAGGATATTATTTTTTTTTCACAAATATTGACTTTCATCCTAAAATATTTATGAATAATGTTAACATGTTAAGTAATTTTTTTTCTTGATCTTTATTTCATTGAATTTATAAAAACAAAATCTTTTAAATTAATATAATTAACCATTTAGGAGATCATTATAAATACATTAACTAATTTTATTAATGGCCACATAATAAAATTAAAATATATTAACTATTCTTTAGAATTTCAACAAGTGATTTATTTGTATATTATTATTAACCATGATTATTTTTTATCATTTTTTTTTATTTTGATTTCTCTCCATAGTGAAATTCTTTTAAAATATATTGCATAATATGTTGAATAAACTATAAAGTCTTATGTTGTTTAATTATTATAAAAATATTTTGCAAAATATTTGTACACAATATTTTATTTTAAATTTATTTAGATAACTTAAAGTAATTACATTAATAAATAATATTAACGTACACTAGATATTTTCATTACATAAAATAAAAAGAAGAAGAAGACTACATCTATACTTTCATAAATAATAATAATAACATTATATTACAACACGTTTTAGAATAACATAAATTGAGTATTATACGAGGAACAAGAATAAATAAAATTGTTATTTTTTTTAAATATCAAAAAATAAATATATATACTGAAAATCAAATTTATATTACAATAAACGTGTTAGTGGGATAATTATATAATTAATTTACGGGCTAGCTAGAGCTAAAAGGCTCAAGTTTAGCTTCCCGACAATAAAAAATGACATTGACGAAAAGAGGTGGAAAAGAGATGTTTAAACTCTATTATTTTTAGGCTTTAACGAACAAGCCCCATGAAAATGACTTATTTAATATCTCTGTTCCGTGCATACTTAACGGACATACTATATAAAAATGACTCACTCTATGAAAATGGCGCATTTATAGCCCTGTCCCGTGCATCGCACGGGCTGTAGATTATGAATATGAATTATCCTTAATTCCAAATCCCCATTTTCTGTGATGCCAAACAGACCTTAATATGCGATTGACTGCACAAACTGCATGTATCGCAAAGCAGAGAATCCAAAGATACTTTATGCCGACGTCACGTCACTGGAATCTTTCTCCTCCTCTATATATTCCCATCAGTCGATTGATTCTCAGCCCATACACAATAGTAAATCAATAAAATATCTTAAAAATAAACAAAAAAAAAGAGAGAGAAGTTTGTGATTGTGGAGATTCCATTTCCACCGATGAGGATACGCTACGGCGCTGGTGTATATGTCCTCGTTGCGCTCTCAATCCTGACCGTCGGCAATTGCCGGCAGGATTGGATAAAGCTCCTATCCAAAGCCAAAGGTGATGATGACTCGGTTGGGAAGAGATGGGCCGTCCTATTGGCCGGATCCTCTGGTTACGGGAACTACAGGCACCAGGTCATCCTCACTTTTCATTTAACAACTTTTACTTCTTTTTTTTTTTTTTTTTTTTTTTTTTTTTTTTTTTTTTTTTTTT